ATATTTCAGTTTCATTATCATTAGTAATTATCAATTCAAACATGTAACTGACAAATTATTGACAGCTAATAAAAATATTAAAATTATCACTTTTTGTGTTTAAAATGTATTTCATTTGCCATCATTTTGCAACTTTACCTTTATAAAATGTAATGCACTTTATAATGAGATTCAAAATTATGTAATTGTTTAAAAAATTATAGCATTTTTTGTTTTATAGTGAATTATATAACTTTGCATTAATCATGGTTTAAATACAGGTAAGGTATACTAGTATAAGCGAATATTTATTCACTAGTATTTAGCATATTTAAAATATAAAATTTTAAAATCATTTAAATTAATGCATTTATACAATAAATTATGACTTCAATTTGAACCAATTCTGGCACAAGAATTGTATACATTCTGTGATCGTCTCAATGAATCCAATGAATTGTCTTTCAAAAGTGCATTCAATCATTCAGTTCTCAATGTCTGTCTATTACTGTATAATAATTATACTCTAATTTGAATGGTAATACAAATTTAATTGTACCTCACCTTACGATTAGAGTAAATATTGTTTCTGAAATAGACTAAATGATTAGTGATCATTGATCACATAGAATACCACCCGGGTTATTAAATTGTGTGATATGATTGTCAAAAAATGAAAACAGAGTATTGAATAATTACTGGCTTAAATGACCACCCTGTACTAAATGTTTTAAATAAGTTATAATAAATTGTTATAATAATTTTTATTTTAACAATATCTATTTTAAAAATTCTTGAATATTTGTACTTTTGCATATAACATTTAGAATAAAATATTTTATATAAAATAAAACATTTATAAAATTATTATGTAATTTTCAGTACTAAATATATACCAATTTATGAATATTAGTAATTTCTTGGAAAAATCAATTTATATTTAAAAATATTATTCCAAACCCCATATTAATTGCAATACTAGTGAAATACAGTACAGTATATTGATTATGAATTACTTTTGTTATTCGTAAAGATAGTGTTAATAATAGTTTGAATGTCAATCTAGTACTGAACCATCACTTTAAGAGATCCCTCCACATTCCTCTTCATGAACTTCAACGCATCGATTGCTTCATTGATTGGGAACTTATGGGTCACTAATGGTTTTAAGTTTACTTTTCCGGATGCAATCAATTGTATGGCCAAAGGATAGCTAAACATAAATTAATATTATATTTAATAAATGTTTTTCATTTGAAAGTATCGCACAATAAACTGAATACTAACTCATCCCTAAACCTACAGACGCCAATCAAATCGATTTCTCTCATCGCTGTGTGAACTAAGGGAACCGTACTCTTGAGTCCTCCTAACCCAACGATTCCGACTTTGCCACCATTTTTCGTGGCGTATATAGCCATGGAAGTGCTCATATCATTGCCCGTACACTCAATACTAATATCCGGATTACATCCCATGTCTTTGACGATAGTCTGCGCCATTTCCACGTCATTGAAAGTCTTGGGATCGATTGCATAGGACTTATCGACACCTAATTTCTCGGCCAATGCTAAACGACTTTTGTTCAGATCTGTGATAAACACTTTGTTGGCACCGAAAGCCTTAGCGCACAGGAAGGCTAATGATATATAAATAAAATAAAGAGTTTTTAGCAAATATTGAGATATCTTTGGAGTTGTTATACCCATCATTCCCATAGCACCGGCCCCGCAAACCAATACGTTCTGACCGGCGCTTATGTTGAGTCGTCTGCAGGCGTGGACTATACAGGAGAAGGGCTCACACATCGCCCCCTCTTCCCACGACATGTTGTCCGGCAGTCTATAATCATATAATTCATATCCTTTAGGTTTAATAATGGGTTACAAATGTATTACTTGAATAAGAAATCGGACGGATGTGCGTAATAGCGTCGAAGACATCCATGCTTTGGCGGCACACCCCTCGCCTGAGTGTTAGAAATGGGACACAAATTGTATTTCCCGTCGCGACAGTACTCGCACTTCTGACAGGGAATGGCTGTTTCGACGGCCACTCGGTCTCCAACTTTCAAGTTTGTTACGTCTTTGCCAACGGCTATGACTCGGGCAGAAGTCTCATGTCCTATCACCAGAGGCTCCTTAACAATAAAGTCTGCCAAACGACCATCGTCCATTAGGTGGATGTCAGTTCCACAAAATCCACAACTTTTCCAATCAAACATTTCATTAATATTTTTAATCTAAGCTTTACTATGCTAAATGGTATAATACTATAATTCTTACAATACTAAATATAAAATAATTGTAATACATCATTATAATCATTTTCCCTTCAATTCTAACTTATTTTTTTAAGTAGATTATTTCTCATAAATGTCCAATATTATCTAGCTCAAAATTTTAAATGTATAGTGTTGCAATTGCAAAACATACTGTACCTGTGTGTTTCGAGAAGGCATTCTACAAATGAAATTCAAAGAATTAATACATTGACTCAATGAATGTGCCATTGATTACCATTATCCTCTAAATGCTCTTTAATAGGCGTTTGTTCCAGTTTTAGGTTTCCCGGGCCATGGATTACAAGCGACAGATTGTCTAAGTTTTTGACTCCTTTCAAGTGATCCATTCTTTGCAATAAATGTCAATTTCTTATGTCTATACAAAACTATGNCTAGATAATATTGGACATTTATGAGAAATAATCTACTTAAAAAAATAAGTTAGAATTGAAGGGAAAATGATTATAATGATGTATTACAATTATTTTATATTTAGTATTGTAAGAATTATAGTATTATACCATTTAGCATAGTAAAGCTTAGATTAAAAATATTAATGAAATGTTTGATTGGAAAAGTTGTGGATTTTGTGGAACTGACATCCACCTAATGGACGATGGTCGTTTGGCAGACTTTATTGTTACGGAGCCTCTGGTGATAGGACATGAGACTTCTGCCCGAGTCATAGCCGTTGGCAAAGACGTAACAAACTTGAAAGTTGGAGACCGAGTGGCCGTCGAAACAGCCATTCCCTGTCAGAAGTGCGAGTACTGTCGCGACGGGAAATACAATTTGTGTCCCATTTCTAACACTCAGGCGAGGGGTGTGCCGCCAAAGCATGGATGTCTTCGACGCTATTACGCACATCCGTCCGATTTCTTATTCAAGTAATACATTTGTAACCCATTATTAAACCTAAAGGATATGAATGATATGATTATAGACTGCCCGACAGCGTGTCGTGGGAAGAGGGGGCGATGTGTGAGCCCTTCTCCTGTATAGTCCACGCCTGCAGACGACTCAACATAAGCGCCGGTCAGAACGTATTGGTTTGCGGGGCCGGTGCTATGGGAATGATGGGTATAACAACTCCAAAGATATCTCAATATTTGCTAAAAACTCTTTATTTTATTTATATATCATTAGCCTTCCTGTGCGCTAAGGCTTTCGGTGCCAACAAAGTGTTTATTACAGATCTGAACAAAAGTCGTTTAGCATTGGCCGAGAAATTAGGTGTCGATAAGTCCTATGCAATCGATCCCAAGACTTTCAATGATGTGGAAATGGCGCAGACTATCATCAAAGACATGGGATGTAATCCTGATATTAGCATTGAGTGTACGGGCAATGATATGAGCACTTCTATGGCTATATACGCCACGAAAAATGGTGGCAAAGTCGGAATCGTTGGGTTGGGAGGACTCAAGAGTACGGTTCCCTTAGTTCACACAGCGATGAGAGAAATCGATTTGATTGGCGTCTGTAGGTTTAGGGATGAGTTAGTATTCAGTTTATTGTGCGATACTTTCTAATGAAAAACATTTATTAAATATAATATTCATTTATGTTAGCTATCCTTTGGCCATACAATTGATTGCATCCGGAAAAGTGAACTTAAAGCCATTAGTGACCCATAAGTTCCCAATCAATGAAGCGATCGATGCGTTGAAGTTCATGAAGAGGAATGTGGAGGGATCTCTTAAAGTGATGGTTCAGTACTAGATTGACATTCA